AATGCAAGCACTTCCAACACACCTGGTTCTGTTTTAAAGCCTTCAAAGGAGACTTTCCAGACTCTTACAGTCAGGAAGTTCTTCCTAATGTTTAGATGGAATCTGTTTTCTTGAAATTAGAATCAATTGCTCCACTGTGTCCGAGTCTCCAGAACAGCAGAACACAAGTCTAAAACCTCCTCAATGTGACATCCTTTCAAATATTTAAACTTGCATGTCCTCTTTCAACCTTTTGAACACACCCAGCTCCCACAGCTGCTCCTCAAAGGGCTTGGCATCCAGGCCTTTGGTTATTTTGGTTGCTTTCCTTTGTACACCTTCCAGCTTATCCTTCCAAAACTGGCACAGTATTATTCCAAGTGATGTCTGAGCAAAGCAGAGTAGAGTGGGACTATGACTCCCTTCTACTGAGACACTAGACTCCCATTGATGCTGCTTAAAACCACACTGGTTTTCTTAGCTGCTGCATTACACTAATGATGGTGATGATGATGATGGTAGGCAGGTCTACCCAGTCAACTTTCAATCATGAGTTTTAATATAATAATAATAATTTTATTTCTTACCCGCCTCTCTCCTCATGGCTTGAGGCGGGTTACAACTTCACTAAAAACACACCATAGTTATGTAAAATATGCATATAAAATATATATTTCTACAAAATACTTATATTAAAATACACAGAAGAATGATTTTAATGTTCAGATGTTTTTAGTTTTATGGTTTTGAATGCAAATGTTTATTTTATTTTATGTCTGTATATGCGGCACTGAATTGTTGCCAACTTGTAAGCCACTCTGAGTCCCCTTCAGGGTGAGAAGGGTTGGGTATAAATACAGTAAATAAACAAAATAAATACATGTCAATTCTGTACCTGTGTTTGGTGCAAGTGTGTATGTGTATAGTCCATAGGTTACTGACATTGTTGTGCCCCACCTTGAGCTGGAAGGAGAGGCAGGTAGTAAATAATTTTTTTTATTATTATTATTATTATTATTATTATTATTATTAAAAGCACATATTACTCAGGTTTTTTATGGATTTTAACTGTGAGTTTTTTTTAAAAAAAATAGCATTGATATTCAAGGCAAAGGTTTCCCCATGACATTAAGTCTAGTCATCTCCGACTCTAGGGGTGGTGCTCATCTCAATTTCTAAGCTGAAGAGTCGGCATTGTCCGTAGACACCTCCAAGGTCATGTGGCTAGCATGACTCCATGGAGTGCTGTTACCTTCCCACTAAAGCAGTACCTATTGATCTACTCATATTTGCATGTTTTCAAATAGAACCTGGGGCTAACAGTGGGAGCTCACCCTGCTCCCTGGATTCGAACCACCAACCTTTTGGTCAGCAAGTTCAGCAGCTCAGCGGTTTAACCCACAGTGCCACGAGGGGCTCCACTGATATCTAATCCTGTAGTAATGTTTGTCGATTTTAACCTGCTTTAGCACAGCAGGTTAACTACCAGCTGCAGTAAACCTTGCTAACTGAAAGGTTGACAGTTCGAAGCCCAGGTCAGGGTGAGCTCCTATCCTTCTACCCAGCTTCTGCCTACCTAGCAGTTTCAAAAACAGCAGTGTGAGTAGATAAACAGGTACAGCTTTAAAGCAGGGAGGTATTTAAAGCAGAAATAAGGAAATACAAGAAAAATGCCAGAAATTCGATCAAGGAGGCAGTTTACAAACAAAGTTCTTCGGCAGGGAAAATTGGTGACAGCATGGTCGAAATTGAGCACAGCCTCGAAGATGGGGAAGCCTACATATACCTCTGTCTATGTACAGTTGTCTGTCATGTCAGTATATAAAGGCACTGAATGTTTGCCATATATGTATGTTCTGTGATCCACTCTGAGTCTCCTTTGGGGTGAGAAAGGCAGAATATAAATACTGTAAATAAGTAAATAAATATTGGAGAGAAAAAGCAGGCCACAAATAAACATTATTATTATTATTATTATTATTATTATTATTATTATTAAATAATGTATGCCTTTAATAATAATAACAATTATTATTGCTTAATAATAATAATAATAATAATAATAATAATGTATGCCGTATATGTTCTGTGATCCTCTCTGAGTCTCCTTCAGGGTGAGAACGGTGGAATATAAATACTCTAAATAAGTATATAAATATTGGAGAGAAAAAGCAGGCCATAAATAAACATTATTATTATTAAATAATAATGTATGCTTTTAATAATATCAATTATTATTACTTAATAATAATGTATGTCTTTGATGATATTAATAATAATTATAATAATATAATATGATAATAATAATATTAAAAAGACATGACACAAGGCTGTGGATTATTATGATTACTAAATAATAATAATAATGTATGCCTTTAATAATAGCAGCAATTATTATTACTTAGTAATAACAATTATAAATGTATGTCTTTAATAATAATAATAATAATAATAATAATGAAAGACATACATATATTAAAAGGACATGACACAAGGTTGTGGATTATTATTATTACTACTAAATAATAATAATAATAATAATAATAATAATAATGTATGCCTTTAATAATAATAATAATAATAATAATAATAATAATAATAATAATAATGAAAGACATACATATGTTAAAAGGACATGACACAAGGCTGTGGATTATTGTTATTATTAAATAATAATAATAATGTATGCCTTTAATAACAACAATTATTATTACTTAATAATAATAACAATTATTACTTAATAATAATAATGTATGCCTTTAATAATAATAATAATAATAATAATAATAATGAGAAACATACATATATTAAATGACATAACACAAGGCTGTGGATTATTGTTATTACTACTAAATAATAATAATAATAATAATGTATGCCTTTAATAATAATAATAATAATAATAATAATAATAATAATGAAAGACATACATATATCAAAAACACATGACACAAGGCTGTGGATTATTGTTATTACTACTAAATAATAATAATAATAATAATAATAATAATGTGTGCCTTTAATAACAACAATTATTATTACTTAATAAGAATAATGTATGTCTTTAATAATAATAATATTGACATACATATATCAAGAAGACATGACACAAGGCTGTGGATTATTGTTATTACTACTAAATAATAATAATGTATTTAATAATAGCAGCAATCATTATTACTTAATAATAATAATGTAGGTCTTTAATAATAATGATAATAATAATAATGAGAGACATGACACAACGAACGTATTCTCCCCTACGAACCATCAAGATTACTAAGATCATCTGGAGAGGCCCTGCTCTCGGTCCCACCGGCCTCGCAAGCGTGCCTGGTGGGGACGAGGGACAGGGCCTTCTCGGTGGTGGCCCCGCGACTCTGGAACTCTCTCCCTCTGGAGGCCAGAACCGCCCCATCCATCCTAACATTTAGGAAACGGGTGAAGACGTGGCTGTGGAGTCAGGCCTTCGAGGAATGAGACAACACCATAGGACTCTGGATGGAAGTGGATATAGATCCATCTTAATAGGACGACTGACCACTGTAGTTTTATATTTAGTGTATTTTAAAGTTGTTTTGTAATTTGTGATATATGATATTTTAATGAATGTATATGTTTTTATGGCTGTAAACCGGGCTGAGTCCCTCAACGAGGTTGAGAAGCTCGGTATAGAAAACTGTGAAATAAATAAAGGCTGTGGATTATTATGATTACTAAATAACAACAATTATTATTACTTAATAAGAATAATGTATGTCTTTGATAATAATAATAATAATATTGACATACATATATTTATTTATTTATTTACTTTTCTTATATATCAAAAAGACATTACTTATATATCAAAAAGACTTTACTTATATATCAAAAAGACATGACACAAGGCTGTGGATTATTGTTATTACTACTAAATAATAATAATAATGTATGTCAATAATATTAATAATAATAATAATAATGACAGACATGACACAAGGCTGTGAATTATTGTTATTACTACTAAATAATAATAATAATGTATGTCAATAATAATAATAATGACAGACATGACACAAGGCTGTGAATTATTGTTATTACTACTAAATAATAATAATAATGTATGTCAATAATATTAATAATAATAATAATAATGACAGACATGACATGACACAAGGCTGTGAATTATTGTTATTACTACTAAATAATAATAATAATGTATGTCAATAATATTAATAATAATAATAATAATGACAGACATGACATGACACAAGGCTGTGGATTATTGTTATTACTACTAAATAATAATAATAATGTATGTCAATAATATTAATAATAATAATAATAATGACAGACATGACACAAGGCTGTGAATTATTGTTATTACTACTAAATAATAATAATAATGTATGTCAATAATATTAATAATAATAATAATAATGACAGACATGACATGACACAAGGCTGTGGATTATTGTTATTACTACTAAATAATAATAATAATGTATGTCAATAATATTAATAATAATAATAATAATGACAGACATGACACAAGGCTGTGGATTATTGTTATTACTACTAAATAATAATAATAATGTATGTCAATAATATTAATAATAATAATAATGACAGACATGACACAAGGCTGTGAATTATTGTTATTACTACTAAATAATAATAATAATGTATGTCAATAATATTAATAATAATAATAATAATAATGACAGACATGACACAAGGCTGTGAATTATTGTTATTACTACTAAATAATAATAATGATAATGATAATAATAATAAGAGACATGACACAAGGCTGTGGGCTGCAGTGTATTCCAATGGTACAATCCGCCCTCCCCCTTTCCCAGGGCTTGAAAAGGGATCCCAGGAGATCCCAAATCCTAACGGCCTTTCCCTGCTTTCTTTCCTGCTGGTCCTGCGCCCTTGGGAATGGCTGGGAGGCAGCGAGTAGGCCGCAAAGCCTGCCTCGATTGAGCGGGGAGAGGCAGGCAAGTGTCGACGGGGCCGGGCGGCCTACCTACCTCATCCGCGGAGGCGCGCTCCCCCGCCAGGCCCACCCAGGCGCTCCGGCCGCCGGTTCCTGCTTCGAGAGCGGCGCCCATCGAGATGCGCCGCCACACACCGCGCCGCCCAGACCGCTTCGGCTGCCGGCTGCCTCCTCCCCGCCGCCTCCGTCACTCCATTGGCGCCCCGACCTGCCAATCTCCCACTCGCGTTCGCTATTGGGCGGCGCCTTCGCTCTAAACCCCGCCCTCCTCAGCCTCCGGGCTAAAGTGGAGGGGGGAGGGGAAGGTGCCGTGAGCGATTGGCTCCTTGTGACGCAGTTGGGCGGGGACTCCGGCCGCCATTGGCTGAGAAAGTGTCAATCAGGCGTGAGGCTGTCTACTGAAGAAAGGGTGGGCGGGGACAGGAGAAGGCGGGTGCAAGTGGTCACGTGTCTGTGGCAGTGGCTCCCTCAAGGCTTGGCCTCAGGCGGATAGGCTTCTTTCGGCTTCTCTCTCAGGAAATGGATTGCAAGGCGCCCTTGGCCACAGAGGGTGGACACATTTCCGGAGGGGAAATGCATTGCAGCGCCTCAAGGGGAAGAAAAGGGGGGAAGTTGCACAACCTCACCACCTAGGTCAGGCCTGGGCCAGATTGGGCCCTTCAGGTGTTTTGGACTTCAACTCCCACAATTCCTAGCGGCCTCAGGCACCTTCCTTTCCCCCCTCAGCCGCTGAGGCCTTCAACCTGGGGGTTCTCTCACACTGAGGCATTCTCTCACACTGAGGCCTTCCCATATGGAAACCTACCTCACACTGAGGCCTACCTCACTGAGGCCTGTTAACACACTGAAGCCCTTTGAAGTCCAAAACACCTGTACCCTTCCTTTCCACCCTCAGCCGCTGAGGCCTTCAACCTGGGGGTTCTCTTACACTGAGGCATTCTCTCACACTGAGGCCTTCCCATATGGAGGCCTACCTCACACTGAGGCCTACCTCACTGAGGCCTGTTAACACACTGAAGCCCTTTGAAGTCCAAAACACTTGACCCTTCCTTTCCCCCCTCAGCCGCTGAGGCCTTCAACCTGAGGGTTCTCTTAAACTGAGGCATTCTCTCACACCGAGGCTTTCCCATATGGAGGCCTACCTCACACTGAGGCCTGTTAACACACTGAAGCCCTTTGAAGTCCAAAACACCTGACCCTTTCAACCCTCAACCACTGAGGCCTTCAACCTGGGGGTTCTCTTAAACTGAGGCATTCTCTCACACTGAGGCCTTCCCATATGGAGGCCTACCTCACACTGAGGCCTGTTAACACACTGAAGCCCTTTGAAGTCCAAAACACCTGACCCTTTCAACCCTCAACCACTGAGGCCTTCAACCTGGGGGTTCTCTTAAACTGAGGCATTCTCTCACACTGAGGCCTTCCCATATGGAGGCCTACCTCACACTGAGGCCTGTTAACACACTGAAGCCCTTTGAAGTCCAAAACACCTGTACCCTTCCTTTCCACCCTCAGCCGCTGAGGCCTTCAACCTGGGGGTTCTCTTAAACTGAGGCATTCTCTCACACTGAGGCCTTCCCATATGGAGGCCTACCTCACACTGAGGCCTGTTAACACACTGAAGCCCTTTGAAGTCCAAAACACCTGACCCTTTCAACCCTCAACCACTGAGGCCTTCAACCTGGGGGTTCTCTTAAACTGAGGCATTCTCTCACACTGAGGCCTTCCCATATGGAGGCCTACCTCACACTGAGGCCTGTTAACACACTGAAGCCCTTTGAAGTCCAAAACACCTGTACCCTTCCTTTCCACCCTCAGCCGCTGAGGCCTTCAACCTGAGGGTTCTCTTACACTGAGGCATTCTCTCACACTGAGGCCTTCCCATATGGAGGCCTACCTCACACTGAGACCTCTCTCACTGAGGCCTGTTAACACACTGAAGCCCTTTGAAGTCCAAAACACTTGACCCTTCCTTTCCCCCCTCAGCCGCTGAGGCCTTCAACCTGAGGGTTCTCTTAAACTGAGGCATTCTCTCACACCGAGGCTTTCCCATATGGAGGCCTACCTCACACTGAAGCCTCTCACTATTTTTTTCATATGATAACACAAAAAATGCACTTCTTTTTTCAAAATTTGCTACCGGGCACAATGCAAAGTGCTGGCTTTAGCCTTTAAAGCCCTAAACGGTTCTGGCCCGACCTACCTGTCCGAATGCGTCTCCTCCTATGAACCAGTTAGGACATTAAGATCGTCTGGGGAGGCCTGCTCTCGATCCCGCCGGCTTCACAAGCACGCCTGGCGGGGACGAGAGACAGGGCCTTCTCAGTGGCGGCCCCTCAGCTGTGGAGCGCCCTTCCTGCAGATATTAGATCGACCCCCTCCTTGCTGGCATTCCGGAGGAAAGTAAAGACCTGGCTGTTTGAACAGGCATTCGACTAAGCAGTGTGATTGATTGACTGACTATCGGAACACGGAATATCGGATAACGAGTTTGGATTCTGATTTCATTGACGAGACCTGATGGATTTGTTATATTGATGTAGTGATGTATTGATATTGATGTTTAATGATTTGTGATGCTATTGCTTTTAAATGCTTAATGATTTTGTATTGTGTATACCTAAATTGTTGTAAACCGCTCTGAGTCGCCTAAGGGCTGAGAAGAGCGGTATACAAATAAAGTAAATAATAATAAATAAATAAATAGCACAGTGCAAGGGCAGATGTCTTCACTGTGTCTGGCTGTGATCCCCAGGTTGTGCCAGTCAGGGCTTCCCTGTTCTCAGTGTCTATGCCAGAGTTTTTAAGGTTGGCTTTGAGCCCATCTGTAAAGCCTCCTATGGAAGAGGTAACATTGGTCTGTGTGTTTTTGTTCATTTTATCACTTTTGGCTACTGGTGCTGGGTCACACTAATAAGTTGCTCTGCTATACATTTGTGAGGAGGGTATTTTGTTAATAAGCCCATGCCGCATTATCACGGGGTGTCTGCGCCCCACACCACTGGAGAAATTACACTGCTTAGCCGGCATTGCACCACCTGACATCCGCCGGGAAGTAGCAGCCAATAGTGAAAGGACCAAGGCAGAGACATCTCCAGCTCATCCCCTGTTTGGGTATCAGCCAGCACGTCAACGACTTAAATCAAGAAATAGTTTACTAAGATCTACAGAGACACTCGCTGGAACACCTCAGCAAGCGAGAGTCCAAAAGTGGCAGGCTCAAACCCAGAACCTCAACCAATGGCTGATACCAAATGAGAGACTCCCCTGGGCACACAGAGGACTGGGCGACTTGGAAGGCGCTGAACAGACTGCGCTCTGGCACCACGAGATGCAGAGCCAACCTTCAGAAATGGGGCTACAAAGTGGAATCCTCGGCATGCGAGTGTGGAGAAGAGCAAACCACTGACCACCTGCTGCAATGCAACCTGAGCCCTGCCACATGCACAATGGAGGACCTTCTTGCAGCAACACCGGAAGCACTCCAAGTGGCCAGATACTGGTCAAAGGACATTTAACCAACTACCAAACTCACAAGTTGTGTATTTTTCTGTCTGTTTGCTTTGTTCTGTTAGAAATGTAATATATAATGGACTGGTCGCTCTGACACGACAAATAAATAAGCCCATTCACCCAAGTTTTCCCCAGTAACATTGACAGCAATGTGTTCTACTTCTTTTTATATTTGCATGTCCCCAGATGCATCGATCCAGTCTTGAGTTCTTCCTATGTCATCTCAGTCATATGGGACTGACTCTGAGCTTATGATTAGGCGGTGAGAGCCTAACTGGTAGGTGACTTTTTAAAAATTCCGCTTAGGGTTATGTGATTCTGCATCATCTAATTATGAGGGTTTTGGATTGTGTGATTTGCAGCCTGAGATTACACTCCAGACTGTGCTGGCCTTGCCTCTCATTCTCCCCGTCTCTCTGCTCAGTAGTTTTCTGCGTTGTCAAGAGGGAGGGTGTGGCCCCACCACCGATCCTTTTGTGCGGCCTCTGAGTCATCATCCTGCCAGCTCTCTTTAAGTGCATCGGCTGCCAGCCCTTGCACATGGCTGGCTCATGTGTTTATGAAACCGGTCTTATCCAATAGTGTTCCAGTCTCCTCCTCTGTGGGCCAAGTCAGCCTGTAAGGTCTGCAGAGAGGATGGTCCTTCCAGCCGAAGCAAGCCCTTTGTCATGTTTCCTCCGGTGTCCGAACGCGTGCCTGAATGCGGAACACTTCAAGCGAAGGCAGCTGGTCTGAGTTGACTGCCAATGAGATCAGAAAAAAAAATGCCCTTTCTGTCCCTGGTCCAGTACAAATACATCGCTGTAGGCTACCACAAAAAGCTGCCTCTGTTCCACTGAGAAGGAAGAGGGCCATCTAGTCCAACCCCAATACACATGGCTTGAATATTTTACTCCATCACTAACTGTCCCTTGCCACGCGTTGCTGTGGCCCACATGGGGGTTCTGTGTGGAGGTTGCGCCCAATTCTATCGTTGGTGGGGTTCAGAATGCTCTGTGATTGTAGGTGAACTATAAATTCCAACAACGACAACTCCCAAATGTCAAGATTCTATTTTCCCCAAACTCCACCAGTGTTCACATTTGGGCATATTGAGTATTTGTGTAGTGTTTGATCCAGATTCATCATTGTTTGAGTCCACAGTGATCTCTGGATGTAGGTGAACTACAACTCCAAAACCCAAAGGACACTTCCCCTCCAAGGGGGCCCCCCAGGCATTTTTCTGGTTTTTAAGTTCCATGGGGAGGAGACAGGTGTAACTTGGTGCCCAAGGTCGTGTTTCAAAAAATTCCATTGCTTTGGGTTGGGGGTTCAGACTTGGGGCTCTTTGATTGGTAAGGTGGAAAACTATAAATTTTCCAACAAACGGGGGGGGGGGGGGGGGGGGGACAAACTCCTGGGACAAGGACTAGTGATTTTTTCCCCCAAAAAAAACATACTCACCCAGTATTGAGAAAGGAAAGTCTTCACAATGAGTTTTTGGGTTCCAGATCCCATCACTGTTTGAGGTCCACCAGTGATCTCTGGATGTAGGTGAACTACAACTCCAAAACCAAAGGACACTGCCACCAAACCCTTCCAGTATTTTCTGTTGGTCATGGGAGAACTGTGTGCCAAGTTTGGTTCAATTCCATTGTTGGTGGGGTTCAGAATGCTCTT